GGAGGGAAGGAGGAGTCCCCCCTACCAACCTCCCCCTCCTCCCAGCACCTCCTGCCCATCGGCGGGCCCCTCCAATCAGCTCCTCCCTCTCAGCGCCTGCTGCTGATCAGCTGTTTTGCAGCATCTGGCACTGGTGGGGAGGGGAGAGGAGCGACGGTGCAGCGCAATCGGGGAGAGGGGGCGGAACTGGGTGGGGAGGGGACGGGAAGGGGCGGGGAGGTGGGGCAGAGCAGGGGTGGGAAGAAGCAGGGTGGGGCGGGGCCCTGGGGGAAGAGGTGGAGTGGGCGGGGCCTGGGCAGAGATGGGGGAAGCACCCCCCAGCAGATAAGTGCAGAGTTTCTATGTCCCGGGCCCCACACCCTGCTAGTGACAGCCTTGCATGCGGGAGAGATGGGTTATGTGGAGAATTAGGAAGTTGCAGGAGAAGAAACACAGGACTAGACCCTCTGCTGGCGAACAGTGGTACAGCTCTACTGGAGTGGTTGGGGCAGCACTAGTTGATGATGATAATACCTAGTTCTGCTATAGGGCCATTCATCCAGAGATCTCAAAGCTGACGGAGGTGAATGTCATTGTCCCCCTGTTAGAGATGGGGAAGCGACTTGTCTGGGGTCCCCGGCCAAGCTTGGGATTTGGGAAGGAGGAGCCTGGGAACTATAGACCAATCAGTCTGACTTTGATACCTGAGAAGCTACTAGACCAAGGGTGGCCAAACTGCAGTTCGTTAGCCACATGCGGCTCTTTTACAGTTCAGGTGCGGCTCACGGAGTCCCCCCCCACCCCATTCTCCACCTATCAGTCTGGGGGGGGGAGGAGCTTGGGCTTCTGCCTGGTGGCGGGGCTAGGGGCTTCTGCCAGAGATGATTGGTGGCTGCTGAAAACAGGGGTGGGGGGCACAATTTAAAGGTTTGCCCCCCCAACAGCTTGAGTCATGCCCCCCAAGCACACACCTCCTCTTACCCTCAGCAGTCCCTCCCTGCAGCTCCCAGGTGTTCGCTCCCTCCACATGGAGAGGCAGCAGCAAACAGCTGGGAGCTGCAGGGAGGGGTCGCTGCTTTAGCTCCCCGAGGAGAGGCCGCAGCAAAAGCAGCGGCTCTCCCTGCAGCTCCCAGCTGTTTGCCGCTGTCTCTCCCCAGGGCCGCAGCTCCCAGCTTGCCAGCTCCAGCAGCTGTTATGCAGGGAGGGGGCCCTAAAGCACCATGTAACCGAGCAGGGCCAGCAAACCCTGACAAAAATTGGGGAGGGGGGGGTATGTGACCCCATGTGCCTCCCTCCACATGCGTCACTTCAGGCTTCTGCCCAGCGGGACAGGAGGTCTCAGGGCTTCAGTCCCACAAGGCATGCCTGCTGGGGCTTGGAACTTCAGCAGGAGCAAGGCTTCAGCCCCGAGCCCTGGTTGGCATCTCCCATGGCACTGAGGCCTGCGACACCCCCCCACACACACACCACCCGCAAGGCTGAAGCCCTGAGCCTCGGCAGTCACGCCCTGGTTCTTGAACTGAAGATTGCCATATGCGGCTTGGAGGGTCAGTAAGTTTGGCCACCCCTGTAACAGAGCAATGTATAACATTCAGTTTGCGAATTCCTGGAGGATGAAGGGGTAACCCGCACATCTAAGGACAATCACAAGGAGCCAGCATGGATTTACTAAGAACAAATCATGCTAAACCAGCTTGATTTTCTTCTTTGACAGAGCAACTGGTTTGGTGGATGGGGGAATGTGGTGGACATAACTTACCTGGACTTCAGCAAGGCTTCTGACACAGTCCCGCATCACATTTTGATAAGTAAGCTGGAGAAATGCAGGCTTGGCAGAACTACCATTAAGTGGATATGTAATTGGTTAAACAACCGCAGACAAAGGGTAATTATTAATTGAATGATGTCAGATTGGAGGAAGGTCTCGGATGGGGTTCCACAGGGACCTGTTCTGTGTACAGTGTTGTTTAACATCTGCATTAATGACCTGGATGTAGGACTGGAGAGCATCCTGATCAGATTTGCAGATGACACATTTTGGAGAATAGAGCTAAAGTTCAGAGGCATCTTGATAAATGAGAGAACTGGGCTATAGACAACAAAATGAAATTCAAAAAAGGCAAATGTAAAGTGCTGCACTTACTGAAGAAAAACCCTATGCACAACTACAGAATGGGGCTAACTGGCTTGGCAGCAGCACTGCTGAGAATGACCTGGGAGTTATGTTGGATCACAGCCTCAACATGAGTCAGCAATGCGAAGCTGTTCAAAAAAAAAAAAGCAAATGCAACTTTTGGTTGCATTAAGAGAGGCACAGCATGCAAGTCACGGGAGGTGATAGTGCCACTCTATTCCAAGCTGGTTAGGCCTCAGCTGGAGTGCTGTGCCAAATTTTGGTCACCAATGTATAGAAAAGATGTGGAGAAACTGGAAAGGATCTAGAGGCGAGCGACAAAGATGATCAAAGGGATGGAATGCAGCCATCTGAGCAAAGGCTGAAGGAACTGGGTAGGTTTAGTTTGGAAAAGAGGAGATGAAGGGGGGACATGA